AAACGTGGGCCTGCGCTGTCCCAGCCTGCGGCAGCCGCTGGCCAGAGGGCTGCTGAGCATGCGTAATACAACACATCCACACTGCGACTGGGGCGTATAAACCGGACCAGGGCTCCGAGCTGGCACAGAGAAGGTCACTGCACAGAGGTGGTCACGCTGATTATGCCTGATCACATTCTGGGTACGGAGGCCTACATAAAGTACATTTCTGAACGAATTTCATCGTGTCAGACATTTAATTTGGCTCCCTGCCTCATGCTTATGGTGATTCTCAAGGAGCCAGTGGGGTGGCAGTTGGAAAGCCACATCTCCAACACGGCCACTTCCACCCTGCAGTACATCCGGCAGGACGGCCACCTTGAGATGGCAGACCATGCTTCATCTGGTACAACTCATCACCCTCTAATAGAGGCTCCTGCCACATGGACCTCTTGCAGCCAGACCTGACCCCCAAACCCCCCGTCCTGGGCTGTCTGAATGCTAGCACACTCTGGGCCCACACCTTGATTCTAGCACAGCACGCCTCAGCACACAGGTGCCTCACACATCTACACGCATCTAACAAAGACGCACTCTTCCATGAGAATCTGCTCAAACAAGGGCAGGCCTGAAAGAGGGGCTCGCTTTCTTCCTTTAAATCAAAAGTTCTCTCAAAGACCTAAGTTCTGTTTTTCTTTTCTTTTTTACTATAGGGTGCTCGTCAAAAACAGACAAACAGAGGAGAGTGAGAAATCACCCTCTAAGGGGCAATGGCCATGCAGCAATCCCTTCTCCCGTATTCTCCTCTGAGGATTTTGGGCACACACGCATCCAGTGTGTATGTCAAGCTGTCCAGGATTCAAACTGTGCAGTTGGCAACATGGGATCCAGCTGCCTTTACCACCATTCCAACTGCTGGCCCCTGAGTCTTGGGGTTTTGTTTGTTTGTTTGTTTTCTATTTGGGAGGAGATTCCCCCATGGATCTTATTTTCTCTTTTAACAAATCCATTGTTCATTTTTCTTTAAAATTTGTTCCAATGATTAAAGCTGAGCAACTGTCACACAGCATGAAGCAATAGGGGAAGGCAAGTCCCCTCCTCACCAACTTGAGTGAGGCACCAGCAGGAAAACGGTTGGAGCTGGCCTCTTCACACCTTGTCCCTGAGGATGCCCCAGCCCTACGGCCTCCTACAGGGCCCCAGAGCAGAGATGGTGGGTTAGTCGGTGGTGTTGGACAGGAAGGAGCTGCAGAGCAGGCCTGCTAAAGCCACCCCACTGTTCACCATCTGTGTGACCTCCTACAAGTTAATCTCCTTGCCCTCGTTACTCCATCTGTAAAGCGGGAGTAAGTGGGATTATCCTTATAGGTTTATTGGTAAGATTAAATGAGAGAATTCATGCCAAATGCTCCGTACTACTTTGAGCCTTATCAAATTGCCATTTTTATAGATTAAAATGGTTAAATGGCTGCAGTTTCATATTGTTCAACCTAATCTGACACCTGGCACTGAAGAGTCGATGCTCAGTCAACACCATGAAGTGAAAGGAGACAGCAGAGCACAGAGGACCCTTGCTCAGATGTGCTCTGTGCAGTGCAGGGTGTAGATATGGTATGTATGGGCAAGTGTGAGCATTGTGTGTGTGTGTGTGTGTGTGTGTGTGTGTGTGACAGCGAGTGCAGATATGTGTGGTGCATATGTATGGGTGTGTATGAGCATGGTGTGTGTGACAGTGCGAGTGTGTGTGTATGTAACGTGTGTGTGAGCACACTATGTGTATATGACTGACGGTGACTGTGAGTGTGTGCATGTGTGGTGTGTGGGTGTCAACATGTTGTGTATGACTGGCAATGAGTGTGAATGTATGTGGTATGTGCTGGGAGGGTGTGGGCAAGTCGAAGCTACGGTTGAACAGACAAGGTTGAGTGGCTTTAACTCCAGGCACTCCCTGCCTAATCCCCTCCAGGGCTACCTACATGGTCTGTGACCTTGGCAGCCCCAACCACATTCACAGGTGGACTGTCCCTGACAGCTCACCAATGTGACTTCCCAGCTCAGGGAGTCAGTGACAAAACTGCTCCCAGATTCTCAGAGTACTGAGTGCGTGTGGAAGAGCACTACCGTCTGCACCACCTGAAACAAACGAGTCCTCAGCCTTTCACTAGCCATCTAAAACAAGAGCACCAGGAAATCCAGGCCAGCACTAACCTCACGAGCCCAGGTCGTGTCCCCACGGCAAGGCCAGCCTCAAATTTTTGGCCTCCCCAGAAACAAAGTGCAGTGAGCTATGGTGATCCCCTCAAATCTCAGAGGCTCGAATGTAGGCTGTAGGCTTCAGAAGCTTACGGGCAGCTTGTGCATCTGCGCCCAGGAGGGCACACTGCTCTTCTCAATGGAGCATGAGGGTGTCCTGCACAATTTTACCTGAACATGAAGGCAGCTAGCTGTCAGCAAGCCCAGGTACGGAGTGACCTCTAAGGGTCCCCGGGGGTCTGCGTCTCACCTCTGCTGGCCCAGTTCCGGGAGAATGCACAGGCATAGAGAGCAAGGTGTCACCGAAGCAAGGGGGGTCCTTGTCTGCAGGCTTTGCCCCGGGCCTGAGCAGTGGGCAACTACAGTGTACATGTGTCAGTGGGAGAGGGGAGGTGCTGCAGGGGCCCTGCTGGATGAGGGATAGGATGCTAACTCTTCTAACAGCAGAACCAACACTGTATCCCTCACTGAGTCTTCTTGGAGGATGACAGTGACCCCAGGGCACAGAGGCCAATCTCTAGTCCTTCAGCAGGCAAAATGAACTGGAAGAACCACAGCAGCAGCCAGTATAAAGCTGTAAGAACCTCCCCAGGGCATCGTGAAGTTCATGGTGTGACCCTGGGGATGAGGAGTCTCCTCACCCTGGCCTCCCAGGCCTTTACCTGTCTTCAGGACCACCAGGTGTGCAGCATCATCCCGAACATAAGAGACAGCAGCGATGTCGTGGATGGGCACTCTGAGGATGAGGTCCTCCCCGTCCCGCCAGGCTAGCTTTACATTGTAGGCAGACAGACTGAGCACGGCGTCATGCTCCTGTGTCAGGTGCCCCGGAAGCTGGTGGGCTCTCTGCAAGGAAGCACAGGGTGTCAGGAACATGGACCTGGCTGATCTGGGAGCACTGAGTGGCCTGGGTCACATGCGATTGGCACTGAGTGCATTAGGCACATGTCATATCCCTAAATATAGTGAAGCCCACTCCAGGGACACCACTGTGCTCATAGCATCTAGGGGGCTCTTCTAGAACCAATTCTAGATTTGGACTTACAACACATTGTCTGCAATATTATGAAAGTGTGAACAGCCCAGAAAACAGGAAGACCATATCTAGAGAATAATGTTAATGCTCAGACTGAGGAACAGTCTTTATGGCTAAATGCCAAGGGCACTCATACTATGATGAGACTGAGCCAACTCTCAGGGCCATAAGGCCAAGAGCAAGGGGCCCGGGACAGGGGCAGCAAGGGATGAAGATGGGCTAGGAGGAGGTTACCTTGGCACTGTCTATGAAACGCAGGATTTCAGTCCGACTGGAAGGATTCAGGTACCCTGGTATGGACGTGAGCTGACCTAAATACTGAAAGAAGTGAAGAACGTGCCATGAGCAAGGGAGATGAGCTGAAGCCACCCTCGCTCCCAGACAACACAGACCTGAGCCTCGTGGTGGCTAGCAGCCCCACAGCTGCACCCCAACTCCTGTGGAGGCCTGCCACGAGGAGGCCCTGAATTCTTACAGGAAGTTCTGCAGGCTGAGGATCTATCTTACTGTGCCGCATTCAAAATCATCATCAAAAGCCCCACAAAGGGCATCTCAGAACCAGTTCTGGTAGAGACTCCTGAAATATTCAGACAAGAAGCCATTTTAAAGCTGAGGTGTGTCCTGGCATATTCAGGGAAGCTATGCTCTAAACTGCATCTACTAGTTTCCGGAAATATTCAGACAAGTGAAGCAGAGATTTTGTCACAGAATGACCAGAAACAACCACAGAGGCACAAGAAACATGAAAAATCAAGAAAATATCTCTCCCTTAAGGGAAAAGAATAATCCCTCATCAACCACAGACAGTACAGTAGAACTCATGGAAATGTCTGGTAGAGAATTCAGAATATTCATAGTGACAAACTAAACGAGATGCAAGAGCTGAGAGATAATGAACACCAGAAGATGCAGGAGAAAGAGACGAGTTCCAGGAGGTGCTGAAGTTCTTCCATGATCTGAAAGAGGAAACACACACCATAAAAAAGAATCAGATGGAACTGTTAGAAATGAAGGCTGCCATTCAGGAAATCAAAACCTCCCTTGAAAGTATTAAAAGCAGATTAGTCCATGCAGAAAATCAAATCTCGGATGTGGAAGGCAAAACCTCTGATCTAGAAAAAACAAGCAAAAAAACTATGAAAATAATCCCCCCCCAAAAAAAAACCAAGAATACTATACAAGAAATACTAGACAGCATTAAGTGCACAAACATCCAGATAATCGGTATCCCAAAAGGTGATGAAACTAATAAGGGCATTGACAATCTATTCCATGAAATCTTGGAAGGAAACTTTCCAAATCTAGACAGGCATTCAAATATCCAGACCCAAGAAATAGGAAGGACCCCTAACAGAATCAACCCAAGAAGATCTTCTCCAAGGCACATCATAGCCAGACTGGCCGAATCTACAGACAAAGACAAGATACTAAAATTGGCAAGAGAGAAACGTCAGGTTACTTATAAAGGTTATCCAGTCAAGTTAACCTCAGACTTCTCATCAGAAACAACGTGAGCGGGAACCAGCAGTTAGCGTAATGGCTATGTCACTGGACTCCCACGTAGTCGACCGCGGTTTGCGTCCTGGACCCGGTGACTTAAAACTCACGCGGGCGCGTGTGCGTGCGTGCTCAAGATCCCGAGAGGAGAATGGAGGAGAAGGGATTGCGGCGTGACCATCCCCCCTGGGGGG